GTCTACTCATTTACCAGGTATTTTCTGGAGCCCACCCCGCAAAGGTGGCCTAGTATCCAGGCTCAATCCACAGGTGCTGAGAGATTGCGCGCAAAGGGGAAGGGACCGCCTAGTTTTCACTCTGGTCGGGGTGATGGGACACACGTCATGGAGGTTAGGTGTGACCACCTCGGCCTGCACTTGCATAGCCGTGACCTGAAGTCATAGCGCCTCATACCAGTGTGAGCGGTCCACACGCACATGGCAGCGCCCGGCAGGATTTCAGAGGAGGAAACGCTGGCAGCGTGAGGACCCTGGTCTGGAGCGGCAGGTGGAGAGCGAGGAGCCCTGTGGGACCCCCGCCCGCCACTTCCTCACTCTATGCTGAGTTCTTCCAGCCAAAAACGGATGGCACACACCTGTGTCACCCCAGGCCCGATCGCTGCTCACGGCCCCTGGTGCCTGAGGAGCTAAAGGAGGGAGAAAGGGTGGGAGGAGCGGCCAGACCCCGCCTGGGAACCCAGAGCCCAGCGCTTGGGGTGAGGAGCTCCCTGGGACCCTGGAAGCGGTCTGTGCATTTGGAGCATCGGCCAGGCACGCTCCTTTTATTCCACACAGAGCCCCCCCTCCTCCCCCCCTCCCCACCCCTACCCCATGCTGGTTTTCGTCTTTTCTGAGTGGAGTGCAGCCTCCTGCAGTGGTGCCTGCGTGTTTGCTAAGTTTGTCACAAACTTCCTGTTTGGGTTTGGTCTGAGGCTCGAAGCTCTGTGTGTTTTGAAACCCGGGCATTCACAGAAGTCCAGCGCTTCTCTCTCAGCGGCCATGGGGCGGCCCTTTTGTTTCCCTCCCTTCTGCTGGCTTTTGCCATCCTTTGCAGCCCTTCTGGCTGGGAAATGCTCTGTAGCCTCAGTACTTGCTCCTGTTCGTGAGGGTTGAGAGCTGCGAGAGCTGAAAGCTGTAAGGAGGGCGGGAAGCAACACTCATTGAGCCCCTTATATAAAGCCAGGCGCTGTGCTGGATGTTTCTATGTATTTCTTGTTTTATTAAGGCCTCACATTAGCACACGCAGAACCAGGCTCGGTGAGGTTAAGTGGCCAAGGTTGGACAGCCACGAGGTCAGGATTTGATCCCAGGCCCGACTCCAGAGCCCCTATTATGTCAACGATGTCATGAGGCCCACACTGTGCCTCTGGTGCCATCGGTTGGGGAGATCTTGATTTCTTATTGGGTATCTGGGCGGACAGCGTCACCTTGACTCCCAGACTCTTACTGCTCCGGTGCTGCCCGTTCTGTCCATGTGGGGTACAATCTGATGGCCCGAGGGCTTTGCTGACTGTCACTTTTCCCGACCATCCTCCGCCTGTGGTTCTGGGAATCCCAGAATTGTCGTGTGGTCCGTGCTGACAATCGAAGTGAGTTCAGGCCAACTCCCAATTCCCCAGAAATGGGGTATCTTTTCTTCTACTTCTGGGTACCCAGCACTGACCATTCTGCTGGTCACCATGACTCCCCACAGCCAGATGTCTGGTTTCAAGCTCTTTCCCTGAGAAGGGCAGAAGCTAGGATCTCTATCTGTGTCCATGAGAGTGTGTGAAGGGGTAGCTAAGGACGATACCAAGACCTGGAGTGTGTAAGGGCAGGAGGAGGAGGGGAGGGCTAAATCCAGCCACCCCCCGTGCTAGGAGAGCTGGTGCAGGATGCCAGACTCGGGTGCTCCTGCAAAGGAAGAGCAGATATGCTCCCAAAACCTTCGAGAAGGCCATGTGCCCCTTCCCCTGTTCATCCCAGGTCTCTTCTATTTTCTGAAAAACTTCTAGAAGTACGTCAGCTGAACTTTATCAGAGTTGTTTTGTGGATCAAGTAACATTCCCCCCTGTGTTGAGCAGTGGGCAGTTCCAGGTGTTTCCAACACAGATTATGAATTAGCCTCAAGGGGTGGTAGTCTATATGGAACGTTTGCCAAGGGATGCTCAATGCAGTGAGCACAGGAGATCGGGGAAGACCTCAGCAAACGGGGGTGACATGCTCAGGGGACTGCGGGAGAGCAGGGCACTCGGACGGGTGCAGCGGCAGGGGCAGGAACGTGCCCCACATGATGGCGTGCCACCTCCTGCTGTTGTGCATGCGTGTTTGCTAAGTGTGTCACCTTGGGGGGGGATGCCCAGGGAAGGAGCACACGGGATGGAGTGGAGCGGAGGGTGCTTGTGGGAAATGAGTTTGAAAAGGGATGTATATCGTTTATGAACGATCCCAGGGGATGGCTGCAGAGTGTGAAATGTTCCCGTATTGGGAGCCAATCTAATAGGATGGGGACAGGTGAAGACAGTGCTGGAGGGAGGTTCATCTGGGTGTGTGCACTGAGAATGGGGGTGCTGGGAGGTGAGTTAGAAAGCATCGTGTCCTGTTGAGTTCTAGGAATGAAATGTTGAGGGCTTGGACTTGGGTGGAGACATGAACATAGAAAGGAAGATAGAGACGGAAGGTTTCAGATCCCAGCTCTGTCACTTGCTACCCGTGTGACCATGAGCAGGCTTCTGAATCTCTTGAATCTCAGCTCATCATCTATAAACAGGATCGTTGCCTGAGGATTTTAACTTGTGTTGCACCCTGCACACAGTAGGTGCTCAACCAAATCGGGGTCCTCTCGTACTGTAAGAGGCACAGTTTTTGATTGACTGAGAGGCATGGGAGGAGTGGAGAGCAAGGCCTCAAAAGGCTCTAAGCATTGTGCCTGGGAGCTGGGAGAAGCACGCAGCTTTGACGGAAATGGGTGGAGCTATTTGGGGCCCCCGAATTCAGTCTTAGGAGGTCTCTCCTCCTAAATCAAAGCTGGCAAGGGCCTGTCCCTGAAGCCCCACAGTCATAGGAAACCATGGCTTCTAGTGTCAGCTGGGCCCTCAGCGGTGCTGGCCGGCAGCCAGCTCTCTCTCCAATCAGGGCATCAGGGTCGGCACCGGGTGAGGCAGGTGTGGCACTCAGGGCACAAAAATTAAGGAGATGCTCAGTTTCAGGGCCAACCTGCACTCGCACGGTTCTCCCACAGCTGGGAGCCCACTTGGGCCCCTGCCTCCCCTCCTGGGTGATTATTGGCATCTGGGCTCCGCCCAACCTGGTTCCCTTCCACTCAGAGAAGGACATGTTCCCTCCCCGACCCGAGAACCTTCTTCCAGGACATGGGTCCCTCTGTCTCCTGTAGCTCCTGGGACCTCGCCCCCTCCCGTCATTTAGCACCAAACTCTTTCCTCGAACTTTCCAGTCCCCTCTACTTCACATATCCTTTTCCCCTCCCCTCACAGACGGAAAAAGCCTGGGGAGCCTCTGCTCCTTCGCTGCCATGGCCCACTCAGGCTGGCTTCTGCCCACGGGGTGGGGGTGGAGGGTGCCTGGCACAGGGGAGGGGCCTGGTGGATTTCGGCAGAGGGCTCCCGCCTCCCGCAGGAACTGCCCTCGCTGAGGTCACCTGTGGCTTCCATGTTGCCACACCCAACGGACACTTCAGTCCTTATCTTTCTGGACTCTTTGCTGCTTTTGACACTGTGGACAACTTCCTCCTTTTGGTAACTCTCTTCTCTCTTGTCTTCTTTCATTCCACAAATCAATCTTTCAACAACTGTTTCTTGAGCAACTACTATGTGCTGGGCTCAGGGACATGCCATAAGACGATGTCCTTACTCTCAGAGTGTCTGGTCTAGTGTGAGAGGAGAGTGATAAAAGTAGGAACAAAAGGCAGGTAGTGATCAAGCTACACAGAAAACGTTCACATGGCGGGGGATGGAAAGAGGGTAGTGGTGGCGGTGGAGGGCCTCCCTGAGAAAGTGAAATTTGAGCAGAAACCTGGAGGGAGTAAAGGACACTTAGTGGATGAGTGTTCGAGGCAGAGGGAAAAGCCGTGCAAAGGCCCTGAGGCAGGAGCCTGCTGGGGATGTTTGAGGAAGCCATTGTGGCTGGAGAACATTGAGGAAGAGCAGATGAGGAGGAGAAGAGGTCCGGGAAGAGGCTGGGCCAGGACGTGTGGGCCTTGTAGGTTACTTCAAGGACGTTGTCTTTTACTTTGAGGGAAATGAAACATATAGGAGTGTTTTGAATACAAGAGTGATTTTTAAATGGTCACTGAGGCTGCTAGGGCTGCAATAACAAAGTACCACCAACAGGACAGCTTAAAATAGAAATGTATTGTCTTATAGGTCTGGAGGTTAGAAACCTGAGGTCAAAGTGTCGGCAGGGCCACGCGCTCTCTCTCAAGGTGCTAGGGAAGGACCCGGCCCAGGCTTCTCCCCTCACTTCTGGTAGCTCGTTGGCTTGTGGTAGCAGAATGCCAGTCTTCACATGATGCTCTCCTGTGGATTGGGTGCTGGTGTCCAAATTTCTCCTTTTTACGAGGACACCAGTTATGCTGGAGTAGGGACCCCCCATTCCAGTATGATGACCGCATCTTAACAGCTGATTACATCGGCAATGACCCCATTTCCACATAAGGTCATATTCTGAGGGACGGGGGTTAGGACTTCAACATAGGGATTTGGGGGAGGCACAGTTCGACCTATGACACAATTCAGCTCACATCATATCGGTTGTAGAAAGGCGAGGGTGGGCACAGGGAGACCCGCTAGGAGGTGACTGCAGTGACCTAGTGAGAGAAGCTGCTGGCTTGGACCAAAGCGGTAGCAGTGGAGGTGGTGAGATGAGGTGAGAGTCTGGATCTGTTTGGAAGATAAAGCCGACATCATTTGCTGATGGGTTGAACGTGGAGTGTAGGGGAAAGAGGAGAGTCACAGTGACTTGGGTTTGGGGCATGAGTAGCTACAAGCACTGAGTTGGGTGTCTTTCGCTCCTAAATCCTCTCCTCCCTCAGGGACCCACCTCCGCAGCCTCTGCAGGGTCCTCCTCCTGGGCAGGTCCATCAACCGTTGGGTGTTCAGGGCTCAGTCCTTGGCTGCTTCTAGTCTCCCTGATGAGAGAGACGATCTGTTCCCATGTTGAAGCCATGTATCCTGAATGTACTGTTCGGGTCACTCCCACAGGCCCTGGCTCCGGAGGATGCTGAAGGAGGAAGACACGAAAGCAGGACGACCCTGAAAGATTGAGCCTCTTAATCCCGAAACAGGTAGCGTCTCTGGAAATTTTCGGTGTCGGAATGGTTTGTGACGGGGCCATAAGATCGTTTCTTTGACGCCCGTGGTGTGGGAAATGCCCCACGGAGGAGAGGAGGGCTGCTCTGGGCCTGGACAGCCATCGATTCCTGGAAAAGTTTGGGAAATGACCAGTGATTGTGGAGTCACGTATTGGGATTCAGTGTCACTTGGAATGGGGCTGAGGGCACCCTGTCTTGTCTCTCTGGACTTTGCAGAGCTGTTGTGAATAGTGAGGGATGTTCATGAAGGCGAACTCTGGATGATTGGGAGGGAATTAGACATCTTTGGAGAATGGTAGACCCGAAGGCCGCTCTGAGACACTCCGCCGAGCCTGGCAGAGGCAGATTCCTGGACCAACAAGCCTTTGAACTAGCCCCGGGCGCATTTCTAGTGTTTTTATCAGCTCTGGCCCTGTGTCTTCTTCCAGGCTCAGTTTGTCCGTCTAGAAAATAGACACAGAGCTGGGATTCCTCTGCCAGGTTCCACACAGAAGCTGTCTGAAGGAGCAATACATTTGTGTGTAAACAGATTTTTTTTTTCTTTTGCGGTTAAAACCCTGGTCTAGCAAGAGATGGTTGCTTTCCACAAATTCTCAGTGACGGTGGAGAAGGAGGGTGGTGACTGATGTCTCCATTTGATTCTTTTGGTGCGTGTGGGGTTTTTTCTCGGCAAGTGCCACACTTTTCTTCTCTGTTCTGTGAATTGATTGCTCCTGTTTCTTTTTTGTTGTGGCTGATTTTGATTTAACTTCTAAGCCATGTGTCTTGGGGTTCCAGTAGGAAACAGATGATTCACTCAAGCGGAGAACCCCCAGAGACTCTACTGATGGGCCTGTTTATAGTGGCTGAGGCAGGGTAGGAGAAACCAGCACCGGGCTATGGAAACTTCTCAGGGCCGGCGATGTCAGGGCGCTGTTCCCTTGCCCAGGCCCGAAAAGAAGAGGGTGGGGTTGGCTGCTGGAACTGGAAAGGGAAGCCCTATGGAAAGGCTGTCTCTGGTAGAAGGATGAAGTCAACCTACACCAACATGGCAGGAAAGAGCCACGAGAATAAATACCCTCGTTGAACACCCCTCAGTTCTCCTGTCTCCTGCTGGTGCCCCCCGTTAGGCACACCAGCCAGAAGTCTGAAGGCAGGGGGTCATGTTGATGCTGTCCATAGAGGTCAGAACCTCTGGGGGCGCAGAGCTGAGGGGAGAAGGGTGGAGGGATGAATATGGAGTTGCAATTGGAAAACATTTGACCCAGCAAGAGCTGTAGACTCCTTAGATTATGTTATAAAGGATACTAGAGGCCCGGTGCACGAAATTCTTGCACAGGCGGCGGTGTGTGTCCCTCAGCC